TTAAATTAAAGTGTCATGAAACATTGGTATCATCAGAATTGATTTGTAAGCACCATTGCAATTTTAAACTGATGAAGCTACAGCAAGACATAAAATAGCTTTTCTCTTCAGTTAAGAATCAAAGGACTGAAGTTGTGATACAAAAATATATGTATAATAACATTGTACCTCCTCTCTCTCTCCCATCCTCTCTCCCTCTATCCCTCTCTCTATGTCTTTTCTCCCCTCTTCTCTCTCTCTTTTATTTTTCCCTATCTTATTTCCAATCTCTTCCCCTTTTACTCTTACATTTTGTGCTTATTTCCAACTTCTACTGTCATACACCGATTATTCTGATTGCAGAAATTAAGTACTTTAATTTTATATTTGTGTGTCTGAGCAGGAAGGTGAGAGTGGTCCTTATCACAAATTTCATTACCACTCAAAAGAACAACTTTGACTCATTTATTAAAGATTATGTTTGCTATTAGCTATTAGTGATATATAAAAAATTATATCTTGATACAAGTATGAAAGTGGTTAATTTATAAAATACTTTCTTTTTGGAGATACCATTTTTAATTAATTAATTATATTTTATAGAATGTATTGGGGTGACATTAGTTTGTAAAACCATATGAGTTTCAAATGTACAACTCAATAAAACATCATCTGCATACTGCATTGTGTGCCCATCACCCCAAGCAAAGTCTTTTTTCCCCATTCCTCCTCCCTTTGCCCACCGCCACCTAAACCCCACCCCCTTTTTCCTCTATCACCACACTGCTGTCTGTGTCTATGTGATATATGTATAAATACATATATATGTTTTTTTGCTTAATTCCTTCAAATTATAACTTATTTTTAATGTCAGTTAATTTATGCTAATCTTGGCTTTGAAGTCAACCAAAGTGTTATATATCCCGATGTTTCACTTCTTCACTTATGGGTCAAGTATTTTAAAACATAATTTTTAATATTTAAATGTCAATCTTACACTTATTTTTAGTGTGCTAAAATGTGCATAATATAAACTTTACCATTTTAATAAATTCTAATTGTAGAGTCCGTAACATTAAATATTTTACATTATTGTGCAATCATCATCATCTTCCATCTCCAGAACTTTTTCATCTTCCCAAACTGAAACTTGATATGCATTAAGCAATAATTTTCCAATGCCTCCTCCTCTTATACCCTGGCAACCATCATTCCACTTTCTGTTTCTGTGAATTTGAGTACTCTATGTGCTTCGTATAAGTGTAATCACACACTATTTGTATTTTTGTGACTGTTATTTCATTAAAGATAATGCTTTGCAATTCATCCATGTTATAGCATATGTCAGAATTTTCATTCTTTTAAGGTTCAATAATAATCAATTGTGTATATATCACATATTATTTATCCATTCATTGATATACACTTAGTTTGCTTCCACCTTTTGGCAGTAGATAATGCTGCTATGAACAAGGGTGTACAAATATGTGTTTAAGTTTTTGCTTTAATTCTGTAGGGTATATATCTAAAAGTGACATTACTGAATCATATGCTAATTCTATGTTTAATTTTTTCAGGAACTATCATCCTGTTTTTTATAGTGGCTGCACAATTTTACATTTCCACTATCAGTGTACAAAGGTTCCAATTTCTCCATGTTCTTGTCAACAGTTGTTGCTTTATGTCTTTCTGTGGGGTTGTTCACCCTCACCGGGTTCACAAAGGTTTTATATATATATATATATATATATATATATATATATATATATATATATATATATATAACCTTTTATATATATAATGTTTGCATGTTTGCAGCAGGTCAACAATTTGCATGTTTATTTTAATTTAATTAAAAATATTGTTGACATTATTACAGATGGCCCCCAATTTTCCCCTCTTTACCCCCCTCCTCTGATCCTTCACCACACTATTGTCTGTGTCCATTGGTTATGCATAAAAGTTATTTGATTAATCTCTTCCCATCTCCCTTGCTCCCACCTGAGATATATCAGTTTGTTTCATGCCTCTGGACCTGTTTCGTTTGTCAGTTTACTATGTTCATTAGATTCCACTTATAAGTAAGATCCTGTGATATTTGTCTTTTTCTGACTGGTTTATTTCACTCAGCATAATATTCTCCAATCCATCTATTCTGTGGCAAAGGGTAAGAGATCTTTCTTTTTTAGGGCCGGGTAGTATTCCATTGTGTAAATGTACCATAGGTTTTTTCCCATAATATTATCATTATTTTTATTTTTTTATTGTCTACAGTTTTACATATGTCTCCTTTTTCTCCAATTGACACGCCCCCCAGTCATCCCAACCCTGGGCAAGCCCCCACCGCCCCAGTGTCTGTGTCCATTTGTTATGCTAATATGCATGCATACAAGTCCTTTGGTTGCTCTCTAATCTCCCCCCATCCCCTACCATTTGACTCTTACCATAGCTTTTTTAGCCACTCAACTACTGATGGGCACTTGGGCTGTTTTTTGATCTTAGCTATTATAAATAATGCTGTTATGAATATAGGGGTGCATATATTTTTTCTGATTGGTGTTTTGGGATTCTTAAAATATATTCATAGAAGTGGGATCACTGGGCCAAACAGTAATTCCATTTTACTTTTCTTTAGTAAATTACATACTGTTTTCCATAGTGCCTGCACCAATCTGAATTCCCACTAGCAGTGTATTAGGATTCCCTTTTGTCCACATCCTTGCTGGGACTTGTTGTTTGTTGATTTGTTGATGGAGCCATTCTGACAGGTGTGAGGTGATATCTCATTGTACTTTTAATTTGCATCTCTGTGATGATTAGTAACATTGAACATTTTTTCATATGTCTATTGGTCATCTGTACGTCCTCTTTGGAGAAGTGCCTATTCAGGTCTTGTGCTCATTTTTTAATTGGTTATCTGTCTTCCTTTTGTTGAGCTGTATGAATTTTTACATATTTTTGGAAATTAACCCCTTATCAAATGTGTCATTGGCAAATATGTTCTACCATAGAGTGGGTTTCCTTTTCATTTTGCGGATACTTGCTTTTGGTGTGCAGAAGCTTTTTAGTTTGATGTAGTCCCCTTTGTTTATTATCTTCTTTGTTTCTCTTGCCCCAGAAGCTATATTGGTGAAAATTCTGCTATGTGAGATGTCTGGGTTTTTGCTGCCTATGTTTTCTTCTAGGGTTTTTATAGTTTCGTGACTTACATTAGCATCTTTTAAGTTTATTCTCGTGTGTTGTGTAAGTTGTTGATGTAGTTTCATTTTTTTGCATATACCTGTTCAATTTTCCAAGCACCATTTATTGAAGAGACTGTCTTTCCTCCATTGTATGTTCTTGCCTCCTTTGTCATATATTAATTGACCCTAATGATGTGGGTCGATTTCTGGGGTCCCTGTTCCATCCTATTGATCTATATGCCTGTTCTTGTGCTAGTACCAGGCTGTTTCTATTACACTGGCTTTGTAGTATAGTTTGATATCTGGTATTGTGATCCCTCCAACTTTCTTCTTATTGCTCAAGATTGCTGAGGCTAGCCAGGGTCTTTTTTATTTCATATAAATTTCGGGAATATTTGTTCTAGATCTGTGAAATATGTCATTGGTATTTCAGTAGGGATTGCGTTGAATCTCTAGATTACTTTGGGTACTATGGACATTTTAAAGATGTTAATTATTCCAATTCATGAACACGGTATATGTTTCACTTGTTTGTATCTTCCTCTATTTCTTTTTTCAATGTCCTGTAGTTTTCTGAATACAAGTCTTTTACCTCCTTGGTTAAATTTATTCCAAGGTATCTTTTTTTTTATTGTTGCAATGGTAAATGGGATTGTTTTTGTTGTTTCTCTTTCTAAGAGTTAATTTATTGGTGTATAAAAATGCCTTTAATTTATGGTTGTTGATTTTGTATCCTACTACATTATCAAACTCATTTATTAAATCTAGTAATATTTTGGTGGAATCTTTGGGATTTTCTATATTCAATATCATGTCATCTGTGAATAATGACAGTTTCACTTCTTCCTTCCAGTTTGGACAATCACCCAAGAAAATCTTGTGACAGAATGTGTCATTCTGGTTTGCCAGTGGTCCTCATGGAACTTTATTTTATTGTATTAATGTTTTTTAAATTTATTCTTATTGTTGAAAGTATTATAGGTATCCCCCTTTTCCCTACACTGACCCCTCCAACCTACTCCCATGGAACTTTAAAAGCTGGCCAGATCCAGAGACAGAGAAGCATCGATCAGACCATCAAACCTCAGAGGGAAGGAAGGAGGGGGAGGGTAAGGGGGAGAGATCAAAGGACGTGTATGCATGTATATAAGCCTAACCAATGGACACAGACAACAAGGGGGTGAGGGCATGACAGGGGGTGGGGGGCAATGGGAGTATAAGGACACATATGTAATACCTTAATCAATAAAATAATTAAAAATGAGCACCTCAGTGATCTTTGGGTCAATAATATACAACCTAACATATGTGTATTTTTAGTCCTGGGAATAAAATAAAATATTTGGTGAAAAAAAAAAACAAAAACAAAAAAACAAGACGGCCAATGCCTTGGGCCCAAACCCAGAGATTCTGTTTTAATATCTGGGGATGGCAGGTGTTTCTAATATTCAGGGAAATTTGAGAACTGCTAAGTAATGTGATACATCCATTCTTAAAAGATCAACATGCAGTTCAGCCAACAATGCCCTGTATTTTCTTTCAAGCAAACACCTTCCACAATTTAAAGAAATCTGGCCTCTGGTCCTAGATTATCTGAATAATTTTCTCAACTCATCACTCCTCTTAGCTCTAAAAGCTTGAGAACTATTACTTATTTCTAAAGTCTGTTACACTATCAATCCCATGAAAAAGTACTATACAGCTTTATCATTATCATTTTATTTTTTGTCTCGGGCCTCTGGCCATTTAATGGGGGAAGGGAGGGGGAGGGGCAGGAGCCACAAGGAGCAGTGGAGCCCTGAGACCAGTCCCAGGCCCTGCCCTCCACGCTGGTCACAGTCACTGAAGCAGCAGCAGCAGCACGCCCAGCGCCAGGCAAGGGACCCCCACCTTCAGGCTGCCTGCGGGGGTGGGGGCCCTGTTACACAGTTCGCCATAACGGCAGGTAAAGGTGAGGCTGTAGGTGATGCTCTGATAGGTGACAGGCTCTTCAAGGCGACGGTAGGAACTGATGTCCATGGTGCCTTTGTTGATGATGGGGCCGAGGCCAGGGGCCATCTCTTTGCCAATGAGGCACTCCTTGTCATCGCCACAGGTCATGGGGATGCCAGGGTAGTTGGAGGAGTCGGTCAGCTCACAGAAGATGCAGTCCATGGCACCTGGCCTGACCAGGGGCAGAGCCATCACCAGCAGCAGTAGGCAGCCAAGGACCGTGGTGGCCTGGTGGCGGTGGGCCTCCCGGAACTGCTGAATGACACTCCGCACGCCCAGGAGACTTCTGCCCCTGGTTCTGGCCTCCCGGGGTCAGCGACCGTCCTTGGTTCCCAGCGCTCCGTGTCCCTCTCAGGGGCTTCTTCCTGACCACGGCTCCCGAGTCCCGGGGTCTCTGAAGCTTCCCCGGGAGAGAGACAGCCAGTGGCTGCTGCCCCAGGAGAATCTTTGTGAAGCGGAATGTGGTGACCTCACAGACCCCTCAGGGTTCCACTGGCCACTGTGGGGGTGATGTCATGGGTGGGGGAGAGGTGTCACAATCTGAAGGGCAGGTTGGCCCACTGCCTGCTAGGGAGCGAGGTCATTGCTACCCCACCGAGGTAAGAATGCTCCAACTAATACTTGCCATCCTGGCCACTCAGTCTTAGGCTCTACTGGGTGTCAGGTGCTGCCCCTGCCCAGTGCCCATGGTGAGCCTGTTTCTCAGATGGGCAAACCAAGGCTCAGAAGGAAAAGGGAGGTGTCCAAAGCCTTAGAGCCAGGATTAGATCCCAGATTTATTTAATTCCAAAGAGCGCATTTATTAAGCCCCTGCTGTGTGCAAGACCCGTGGTGGATGCGTTAAATAGCAATCACTGTGATGACAGGACTAGGAAGGGCTGGGCTCACCACAGCTCCCAGGCTTCTGGAGTTGGGCACCATGCAGGGAGCTCCACCTATGTTTTCTGGTTGGAATCTTTCTACCTATTAGATCTGTCTCTCAAATGAGCAAACAGGCACACAGAGCAGGCACAGCCAGAGCCTGGCACACAGCAAGTGCTTAAAAATAGGGGTCATTATAGGAAGCAGCTGAGTCTCAGAACAGTCCCCATGGGTGTCAGAAAATGAACTAAATCTCTTGCCAGAGGGAAAAGCTGAGACATCTCTCAATGGGAACAGGCAGAGCCCAGGTTTAAACTTAAGTCTAAATGCAGGTGAAAAAAAAATAATATATTTTATTGATTTTTTTACAGAGAGGAAGGGAGAGGGATAGAGAGTTAGAAACATTCATGAGAGAGAAACATCAATCAGCTGCCTCCTGTACACTCCCTACTGGGGATGTGCCCGCAACCAAGGTACATGCCCTTGACCAAAATCAAACCTGGGACCCTTTGGTCCACAGGCCGACGCTCTATCCACTGAGCCAAACTGATTAGGGCCCAGATGAAAATTTAAGTATCTTAATGTCTTGTCTTCATGGCGTAGGTACCTTTGTGTGCCCCATTCTATAGGGGGGTGATGCTGAGTCTAGACCAGCCGTGGGCAAACTACGGCCCGCGGGCCGGATCCGGCCCGTTTGAAATGAATAAAACTAAAAAAAAAAAAAAAAAAGACCGTACCCTTTTATGTAATGATGTTTACTTTGAATTTATATTAGTTCACACAAACACTCCATCCATGCTTTTGTTCCGGCCCTCCGGTCCAGTTTAAGAACCCATTGTGGCCCTCGAGTCAAAAAGTTTGCCCACCCCTGGTCTAGAGGATGGCAGGATTTTCTTTTTTGTTTAATTTTTTAAAATTATTGTTGACAGTATTACAGATGTCCCCCAATTTTCACCCCTTCTCCCCCTTTCTTCCCAGCCCCTGCCCCACCCCAGGTCTTCACCACACTATTGTCTGTGTCCATTGGTTATGCATATATGTATATAAGTTTTTGGTTAACCTCTTCCCATCTACCCCCTCCCCTGTGAGATATATCAGCCTGTTCCATGCCTACATGCCTCTGGACCTATTTTGTTTACCAGTTTATTTTGTTCATTAGATTAAATAATAAGTGAGATTTACATAATAGCCTTATAGCTATCCTAAAGGGTGTGAAATAGCATCTCATTGTTTTTCACTTTCCTAATAATTAGGGATGTTGAATATATTTTCATGTGCTTATTGCCATAGTATACTAGAGAACTATCTTTTCAAGCCTTTTGTACATTTTTAAATAATTTTTTTGGTTGGTTGTTTTTTGTTGTTTTTGAGTCATTGGAATTCTTTATATATTCTAAAATTAACCCCATATTCAGCATATGACTTTGAAAATATTTCCTACCATTTTGTGGGTTACCTTTCACTCTTTTGATAGTTTCCTTTGATGTATAAAATTTTTAATTTTGATATAGTCCAATTTATCTATTTTTGTTGTTGTTGCTTATGCTTTTGGTGTCATTTCCAAAAATCAATGGGAAATCCAATGTCATGAAGCTTTCTCATATGTTTTCTAAGAGTTTCTGGAGTTTTAGCTCTCACATTTATGTTTTTTGAACCATTCTGAGTTATGTTTTGTTTGTTTTTGATTTTTTACAGAGAGGAAGGGAGAGGGATAGAGAGTCAGAAACATCCATGAGAGAGAAACATCAATCAGCTATTTCCTGCACACCCCCTACTGGCGATGTGCCTGAAACCAAGGTACATGCCCTTGACTGGAATTGAACCTGGGACTCTTCAGTCTGCAGGCCGATGCTCTATCCACTGAGCAAAACCAGCTAGAGCCTGAGTTATGTTTTGTATATGATGAATGGCAAGGATCCAGCTTCATTCTTTTGCATGTGAATATTGTTTTACCAACACAATTTGTTGAAAAGGCTTATGCTTATCTTCATGTATGTTTCCAAGTTCCATTTTTTAAAGCACTGTAGATGAAAAATTCATCACCTCATGCAATGATTTTTTTTGTTCTTTTTCAAAACTTTTGAATCAACTTTAGAAAGAACTCTGATTGCATAGTAGTAAATTTTAGAAATGAAATAAGTCAATATTAATTATTGTCACAAATGCTACTCTGATCTCTCAAAGTTGTCAACATTACCCCAACACTGAACTATTAATAGAAGAAATGAGAGGAAGAAATGATATATAGGTTGAAGTTTGCAGGCAGGCAGACTGAAAGGGGCACTTTCATTATTGATTAGCAATACCTTCACAATACATTAGTTAAGGATCTAAACCAGGCCCTTGTCAGTATGGCTCAGTTGGTTGAGTATTGTCCCATGCATCAAAAGGTCTCCAGTTTGATTCCTCGCCAGAGCACATACTCAGGATGTGGGTTCAATCTACAGTTGGGGTGTGTGCGGGAGGCAACCAATCAATATTTCTTTCTCACATCAATGTTTTTCTCTCCATCTCCCTTCCTCTCTCTAAAAAAAAATAATAAAAGAAATCCTAAAAAAATTTGAAGGGGATAAAAAAAAGAATCCTAAACCACATAGCTCTTCAGCCTACAGAGTCTAAAGAATGGACCTCGGTAAGAAAAAAAAAAGGTAAATAAAAATAAAATTGATGCCCCAACCAGTTTGGCTCAGTGGATAGAGCATCGGCCTGCAGACTGAAGGGTCCCAGGTTCAATTCCGGTCAAGGGAATGGACCTTGGTTGGTGGCACATCCCCTGTAGGGGGTGTGTAGGAGGCAGCTGATCGATGTTTCTCTCTCATTGATGTTTCTAACTCTCTATCCTTCTCCCTTATTCTCTGTAAAAAAATCAATAAAATATATTTTAAAAAAATAAAATAAAATTGAAATTTTATTTTTAAAACACCTCTTTTTGAGCCAAAATAATTATTTCTTTGCATTACTTGCAGAGTGTCACACAGAAGATACTGTAGTTTTGGGGAGCATGCATATGGACAGGGCCTCTTTGCTTTGCTCTCATATCACCTCTGCTTCCATTAGAAACAGCATATTTGGGGGAGGATAAGGAGGTGAAATAGGCAGCAAGCCAGAGTTCAGGCAGCAGGACATCATGGCACACAAAGCTCAGAATGCCTGGGAAAGTGCTACTGAACTGGAGCACAATCAACATTGGTCTTAAGGCATATGGCAAAGAGGAAAGATTCTGTGGGTAAGTTGAAACGATCAGTGGATGATGAAAGAGAAATAGGGGAGCAATGGGGAAATAAGGATACATATGTAATACTTTAATCAATAAAACAAAATAAAATACTTTTTTTAAAAAAGAAAAAAAACTGTAGGTGGCTATCATAGTCTTTGTCTTAGCAGGGGCTTTGCATGCTCTGAAAAAAACAGTTCTGTGGCGAGCCAACAAATAGGAAATATATTAACATAGGAACAGCTAGGTATCTGTTTTGAAATAATAGAAATATATTTATTTTAAATAATTTCCTTATGACAAAAGAAGCTGTGTGCAAAGTGACAAAAACCTAGATATTGAACATAAAGGTCAATAAGATAGGGATTCAAACTCTGCTCATCCTATTCCCTGGCCATATAACTATGCATATATTTCTTTTTCTTTATCTAGAAAATGGCAAGAAGCATATTTAGTGCACATAGTAATAACCCAAGATAGGAGATGTAAATTTTACTGTATAATGCCTGCCCCATAAACTAAAGATAATTGACATTCATTGTTTTTGTGGTTCCAAGACAAATAAGAGGATTTTGTCAGCATTGTTACAAACAGTGCATTGCACATGAACTGATCATTTAAGTAAACAGCCACAACCAAGTTTGAAGTGGATAAATCAATACAATGAGGTTTATATTGTATACAAGTATAGAAACAGGATCACCCTGAACTTCAAACAGCAGACTGAAAATTAACCTAAAATAGTAACTAAAAACGGCATCCATTCTGATATTTTTTTAAAGTGGCAGAACATAAAAATGCCAAAGGTTAAGTCCAATTGACTATGTAATGTTTAACTTTTGCTCTGTTCATCCTTATATGGACTATTCCTGCCCTGGTTTTTGAAGCTTAATTTAAGCATTTCAAATTTTCAGCTTTTGGAATTTTTTTTTACTTTTTATTGAATTTATTGGGGTGACACTGGATAACAAAATTATACAAGTTTCAGGTGCACAATTCTACAGCACATTATCTACATTATCTGTACACTGTATCAAGTGTTCAGCACCCCAAGTCAAGTCTTTTTCCATCATCATTTGCTCCCTTATATCAATTTTTGATTTTTTTCTATATTATTTTGAAGCACTTAAACATGTCA